CGGTTTGAAGCAAACTAACAAAGTTTCAAAACCTAACTTTAAGTGGGTACCAAAATTGAATTCAGATCAGTCACCATTAACCTCTAAATCTAATGAAAGGGAAGATTCAAATGAAAAATCTGCGAAAGTAAAGGGTAAACCCAGGATTGTGATGACATGGGTTCCCAAATCTAAATAATTCCACTAATCGTGCAAGGATAGTTGCGGAGGAATGTCGTCAGACCCTGGTATGTCGACAGTGGCTGCTCCCGGCATATGATTGGAGATACATCCCAACTGCGTGACATTCAAACATTTAATGGGGGTATGTCTCCTTCGCGGGCGGTGATGGCGGAAGATAACTCAGAAGGGAACAGTTTCAAATGGAGTGCTAAGTTTTGAGAATGTTAACTATGCCCCTGAATTAAAGTACAATTTGTTAAGCGTATCCCAGATTTGCGACAAAGGCTACTCAACTCACTTTACAGATAAAGAATGTCTGATCTTAAAGCTGGGCATTGTCTTTCCAGAAGAGTGGATTCTCGTAAAATCAAAGCGAGATAGGAATGGATATATTATCGACATGAACAACAATTTTCCCAATGAAGTCAATTGTCTCTTTTCCAAAGTCTCAAAATATAAGGCAATGTTGTGGCATCGTTGACTCGGTCATGCAAATGCAAAGAATCTGAATCATCTTGCTAAGAACAAAATGGTCCGTGGTCTTCCTGTCAGAGATTTCATTACTTTTGAGAAATGTGTTTCTTGTGCTTAAGGCAAACACCATCGGAAACCACATCTGCCAAAGTAGGTCAACTCCATTAGTCAGGTGCTCCAATTATTGCATATGGACTTGTTTGGTCCGGTCAACGTCCTCAGCATCAATCGAAATTCATATTGTCTCGTTGTGATAGATGATTTCTCTCGTTTCATGTGGGTTTTCTTTCTGTCCAACAAAGCCAGGATTGTCGATCTTATCAAGAAGTTCATTGTGACGATAGAGAGCCAAACCAACCACGAAGTGAAAGCGCTTCGTACAGATAATGGAACTGAATTCAAGAACGCTGTTCTTGATCATTTTTGCGCTGAGAAAGGGATCATGCATCAATTTAGCTCCGTCCGAACACCACAACAAAATGGTGTTGCTGAATGGAAGAATCGAACACTACAAGATGCTGCAAGGATGATGCTTTGTGATTCTAAACTTCAAGTTTTCTTTTGGGCAGAGGCGATCAACACAACCTTTTATGTTCAAAATCATGTCCTGATCAACAAAGCCCAGATGAAGACACCATATGAGATCCTCTATGGACACAAGCCATCTGTCAGCCATTTCTGAGAATTTGGTTTCCCTTGCACCCTTCTTCACTTGGAATCCAACCCTAAATTCAATGCCAAAGCTGATGATTGTTATTTTGTTGGTTACGCTGCTCGTACTGCTTACCGGGTATACAACAAGAAGACAAAACAAATTGTGGAGGCTTTCGATGTTCGTTGGCTTGAAGAGAATGAGACAGACGCTAGAGTGGGTCCTGATTGGTTATTTGATTACACATCTCTATTCAAATGTTTTTGTGTGTCGTTTGATAACCAAGTTGGGTCTTCATCTGGCTCGAAGACTACAATTGAAGACGATGAGGAAGAGGTTGTCTACAGACCGCCATTGGTTTCTACTACTGATCTTCCGGTGGAGTCATCTGTTTCAACTGCTTCTCCAGAGTATCCAACATCACAAGATGCTCCAGATGCTGATGCTACTCCTCTAACTCTAGTTGAAAGAGAGTTAATGAACCAAGATGCTTCTGCTGTGACTAAAAATCTAATGGAACTTCTTTTCCCGAACAGATCGCAAATGAGTTTGTAGCAAATCCACCACATGACGCCAGTACATCTACCGTGGATTCTTCAGCACATGATGGAGCCATTAATATCCATAATCTTTCTGTCACATTCAATGGCATCAGGTACGAAATTCCCTCTCGCATACAGCGCGATCATCCGATAGACAACGTCATTGGCCAGCTCTGCGATGGTGTTCGAACGAGAAGTCAGAGTGGAGATGTCAACACATGTCTCTACTCTTCCTTTATTTCGACATGGCCTTAAATGAGCCCAGTTGGGTTGATGCCATGCATGAAGAGCTTAATCAATTCGAAAGGCTTAGGGTTTGGAAGTTGGTGGAGCTCCCTAAAGGCAAGAAAGCTCTCGACACTAGATGGGTGTTTCAGAACAAGCAAGATGATTCAGGTGTAATTATAAGAAATAAGGTGAGATTGGTGGTTCGTGGGTTCTGACAAGTTGAGGGTCTTGATTATACAAAGGTTTTTGCTCCAGTTGCACGCTTGGAGGCTATCCGTATCTTCCTTTCTTACGCTTCTCACATTAACTTTGAACTGTAGAAATAGAATAGGAAGACAATTAATTCTCAAGTGAAATCATTAACTTTGTGATATAAATTTTAAAAGTTGAAACTTCAAAAGTTTAGATTAAAGTCACATACACAACTCTTAACGTCAAATGATTCTCAAGAAAATACATGTCCATTGTAAATAGGCTGGAAAAGACAATTGTATAAGTTTGCTGCTATAATAAATTCATATTTATACAAAAAAAAAACAAATGGATATGCAGTATGTTCATATTCCAAATGTCTAAAAAATTTCTATCTATTTCAATTGTAATATGTAAAGAGGAGTCATAGAATAGAGTCAAGGATCATGGCTATTTATATTCTTAAAACAGCATGTATAATTGTACTACTTAGGATAAAGAAAGGTAGTTATTTTCATACACAAACAAGAAATCAGGTGAAAATAAAACATGAATGGTTTGAGCATTTACCATTCGGTCCATCCTCCGATTTCTTTCAGTCTTTATTTAGAATGAAAAAGGGAATAAGGTGAGACCTTAAGCTTACTTGAGGAGGGCATTTTCGTCCTATGATCCTATCACTAGTTCATGTAAACTAAAAAGGAAATAAGGCTCAGAGTAAATCTATAGTTTATATCTTATACAAAAAGGCTTGTTATAATTATAATAATGATATTATCAAAACAAATTTCAGACTCCAAATCAGCAATAGAAACAGAGCATGTTATGGTGCCAAAGCATCAAATTTGATGCATGTATCAGAAATTTAGAATTAACGATTAATTCAGATACAAGTTTCTCAAAACTTGAATTTCAATCCAATATATCATTATCAATGTTATATACAAGGATCAAACTAGGTTCATTGTCACATACACAAGTTTGTCCTATAATGTTGGTTGAATATAGAATCATATACATTCAAGATGTACAGCACAAGTAGGAAACAAATGCAAATTTGATCTAAATTGAACAATTATTGTTAATAATTGGTTAAGTGATCAAAACTTACACAATCGTATATACAAAAAAGCCTACATGATCTAGTGGTGATATCATGCGTTTATAACATCCTTTTTATCAGTTTTACCTTGTACGTTACTTTACACAATTTGCTATTAGAGAAATTTATTGGTATATAAGTTTGATGATAAGAAATCGCATGTAGATATTCATCAATGTAATAAAGATTTCAAATCTGTGGTGTAGCTTTATTGAAATCGTCATGCTAGTAATGTACAGACATAAAGTCGTTGTGCAGTGGAGTCCGGGTGGTAAAGTGGCTGTTGATTTCGTATCTGGAAAGAAGCAACTCGTCGATCAAAGGAGAAAGAATATTTATCGATGCTGATGAGGTCGGAGTTGAAGGCGATCGTCCCATGTGCCGGGGGTGTTCGGCGTCTACCAGTCACCGATCGAGAGAGAGGAAAATGTGAAAACAGTTGTGATTGAACGAGAGAATGTGATGACATATTCACGATTTCGGGAGTAGAAACCTATGGGACGATCCACACCCGTTCAATATTCTGATTAAACAACAAATTAAAAAAAACATAAAAATACATCTAATTTATTTGTTTTTGGGAAGACCTGTCGTCCTTGTATGCTTTCCGTATCCCGCCAAAATTCCCGCCTAAATTGCCGGGGGCGACATGTCGTAGCTACATCTTTTCAGAAACCCGCCAATTATCAGCATAACCTGTTGCAACAACACATCGTCTCTATAGATTAACGAGTCAAAAAATGGTGGTCAACCCTGTCGTCTCTATAGATGATCTATAGAAACGATTTTTGTCGTCCCTATAGGTATCGTCCCTATAGATGTGTATTCTTGTAGTGGCATGATAGTCTTTCGAGGTAAGATAAGGACCAAAAGCACAACAAAAATAAACATTAGGAATCATCCGAGTTAAAAAATAAGTTAGAGACCAAACATATAAATTACCCAAACCATAGAGACCATTCGTGTAATTTACTTACATTTTCAGTTTGTTGACATCTAGGTAACTATCTTTTTTTTATACATCTAGGTAACGAACTTTTTGAAAGTGTTCATATATATGATCGGTTATGACCGAATGTAACCCGCTAGAGCATGTAATAATGATCATATGGAAACAATCTAAAAAGTTCGTTACCTAGATGTGTACAAAAAAAAAGTAGTTACCCAGATGTAAATAAACCGAAAAATTAATAAGTTTATTTCCTAAATACTTAATATGATCACTTTCACTTAAAGTAAAAATTCAAACTGTTTAAAAATTTCGAGTAATAGCTTTTCGTAGGATTTTTTAATTTAAAATAAAGATAATATATTCTGTAAATCAAAGAAGGCACTAGTAAAATCATTCGTCGACAAAACTTTGGAATAATTACATATAAATATACTCTTTCATGGCCAAGAAATCCACAAAAAACTTGTGGCTCAAAGTTCCCTACCCACGAATATAAAAAATCCACACATGTGTGAAATAGATCCGTTTTCTTTCACTTCATATCTGTCTAATTTCTAATCTGAACAAAATATTTAAAATAAACAAAAGATTAAAATGAAAACTAATCTATAAACGAAAGAACTGACAAACACAAAATATGTTTACATTTCTTATTCTTTTTCAAATCATTTAAAAGTTTTTCTTAATAAAATAACTCGAGACTTGAGATTTGGCAGAAAATCTTGCAGTATATTGTAACCACTAATTTTTTTTCATTAAAAAAATACTCACTCAAGGCCAAGAACTCACCAAAAGAATTTGTGGCTGAGAGTTGTGCTGACGTGTCTCGCTTATACCAAAAGTGGACCAAAAAGTCGCACATGTACGCTTACAAGACGACGAAAAATCAAACAACACATACATACATTCATTCTTCAAAGAGAACTCAGTCGAGAGATAAACAGCTAGTGATGTCGGAAGTGAACGACGCGTCGATTAAGTTTTTCGGAAGCACGATTCAATCTAGTTACATTCTCAGTCAAACTGATGAACAACAACGGAGGTCTTACAAAGGCATCAAGGTATTTCAAAGCAATTCTAACACACACCCATTTCAAAACAGTTAATTACAATTGTGTATAATTTTGTATTTTCGGTTTTGTATTTTAGGATTTAGTGGGGTTTCGGTTGCAGTATCATGATTTGTTGTTTGTTGAAATGCATGTGAAAGATATTGAGCATTGATTAATAATTTAATATTTAATTATATGATCGAACAATTCACTGGAACATAAATAAATTGATTCTGTTAATTTTTTTTTCAGGCGTTTCGATCAGAAGGTGATGAGATTGCACGTGGCAAGAAAGCTTTGGTCAATTTGCGAGCGAACCCTGCAGCCATGTCAAGATCAGTTAACTTCCATGAGACCTCGTAACATTGAACAACATTCCATGTTGAGAAGTTGATTTTCATACGAATCAATCAAGCATGTGGGCATCAAACTGTTAAACTGTTATCTAAAAAATAGACTAATAGATTTTCATTGAAGTTACTTCGAAAGAATAGTCTTGAAATGTATCAAGATCACGTGTAAATGCCTAATGGTGATGTGAGCTAGTATTCTATTGAGAATTTATAATGCTTACTACCGTATATTTCCCACTGGACTCTTGTTTTTAATTGAAAATATTGATATTACAAGCTGATCTCTTATGTGTAAGACTATCTTCAATCCACTTTCTATTTAAAACTTAAAAAAAAAAAAACTAAAAAATAGAGTAAAAAATTGGATAAAGAGTGTTCAATCTCCACCTCTACTCTATTTTTTTTTACCTTATGTTTTATTTCAAAAAGTATATTTCTAATATATTCTATTCTTCTAACTTACATATATTATCAACCACACCCTTTCTGCTAATTTGGTTTTAACAAATATATAATCCATATTTTTTTTCATTACAACAATATTAAATAAATAAGATTATATTTATAACACATTTATAAGCTTTTGTAAAATACGTGATTGTTTTTTAAAGTTTCAATATGTATTTAATTTTTTATATGAATTTGATGAACAAAAAACAAACTTCATATTTATATATTATTAATATAATTTAATAAATAACAAAATATTTTAAGTATTAAATATTACATTTAAATTATAATTAGTAAATAAAAGTAAACTAGAAATGTATAAATATATAAACTGAGAGATTAAAATCGACAACACAAAGTTCATCCCTATTTTGGGAGAAATGAATAATATAACACCATATTTGGTGTAGTACTAGTCATATCCTCCAAAATCGGGGAGGGTTGGAGAAGAATAAGGGATAAAATGGGAGAAAAATGGAAAATGGAAGTAGGTTGGAGATGCTCTGATAGTTCAAATTAATATATTATTGAGATAACCATATATGATTAGGAAGAACAAGATTAATTTTGATGCATAAACTGACATTAAACTAATTGAAGAAACTTTGTTTGGAGGGAGTCATAGTTTTAATGGAGTTGAAGATCATGACACATCAATTCTTTTCCCTTCCGATAAAAGGCGTTTCGTTGAGTTTGTTGGAAACAAACCACAAACAACATAAAATTTGCAAGAAGAGTTTAACAGAAAACAATGAAGGAGAAGGATTGCCTTATACACAAAACATAATTCTTTATTACTTACTGCAACAACCAAACATTACATAGACACATACATATATATAGACCTATGTGTAACGATAAAATGCTAGTTAATATCCCAACTAATGACATCGGTCAAAGGAAACCAATTCAAAACACCACATTTGCTCAAACTAATCGGTCTAGAAACAATACCATAAATACTAATCATAAATACTATTTTAACAGATAATTACCAAACTACCGTTGTCTAGCTTATATTTTCTAACACACCCCCTTAATCTAGACAAGATTCCAAAAAACATCATCACCAAAAACATCATCAGAAACATTCTTCACCAAACACATCCATAACTTCTAATTCATCACAGAAATATTGCCCAACATCTTTTTCATCTAGTACAACTTCACACTTGTTTAATGAAACAACACAATCATCTACAAAGTCTTTATCATCTTCTTCAATCATCAAAAACATAGTTTCCTTGGACTATTTCACAAACTTGGCATGTTCTTTACTATCATCTTGTTGCTTATTCTTTAAAAACCTCATTAAATGTCCATAATTATAACAATAATAACACTTTTTTTTTCTGAAAAATGTATTCATTTCATTTGGAGGATCCTTCTCCCTTGGAAGTTCCTATTGGATTGGGTGTCTAAGTCCATAACTATAATTGGTATATACTTAAATTGATAGTGGCACTGTCCTTTTGAGTTGTCTTCATACTAGCAACTAGACATGATGATTGATTGAGAAAGAGGAAGAATTTATTAATTTGATTAATAAATTGAAATGAATGATTTATTAATGTGTTATGTAAATAATATATTAATGAGAAACCATATTATTTAATTAATAGTTAATCAGAAATTAATTGGAATTAATTTTAGGATTAATTGAATTAATTCAAAGTGTAGGGTTGTTTGGTAATTTATTGATAGTTGAGGAAAGAAGCTCTAGAACACTCCTAAAGAGGCTTAGACTAAAACGCTCAGAGCGACTCACAATCCACTGTTCATTCGGAGGTTCGCTAGTTCTTGTATCCTTTGTATATTTTGTTTTCTTAAGTTTCTATATACTTGTGTTTTCGTTTTTATTTTCTATTTTTATTTCTTTTTCAGAAAATCCAAAACTCAAAACTATTTTCTTTATTTATGTTTTTATATCTTTTTCATAAAATCCAAAACTCAAAAAAAGTATATATATTCTTTATTTATGTTTTTATTTCTTGTTATGAAAATATCAAAAATAGAAAAAAATAATAGACAATTAAGCGGGATTGAAGGAACACATTATAACACTCTCAACTACGAATGATGGGGAAGGTATAAAATTCTAAATCTTTATACTAGTTAAGTGTCTCTCGAAGCATGCTGCTGCATATTGTTCGAAGCCTTTGACACTCTATGTTCAAAGCCTTAATGATTCGATAATACCAATAGTTTCTTCCCAATCAGGCTGATTATTCACATAAGTCATTGAGGTACCTGACTCTTCTCATATTGAGTTAAGAGTTAACTGCTTGGTCATTCTTTCATATAGCAGAGGTACATTCATCTCTGGAACCACCTTCCAAAATTTCTCCATCTCTTTCACTTCCATGAACGCAACCCTTGAGACTCTTGTATTATAGCACTGAGGTTTATGGTTACACAAATTATGTGTTTATGATCTTAAAATTCGTTATCACCACGAATTGAGTGAAACCCAAAATCCAACATACATTTACGAATTGACGGGGGATAATTTATATTTTCTAGATTAATCACTATGGAATTTTCAAAACTCCACTTTTGTGGTTTGTACCTTGAAATCTCTCTCTTTTCTTTTTTTTTTTTCTTTTTTTTTTGCGTGATCTTAATAAAATGTTCTAGACCTAAGAAATTTCTTCCCATAAAATCCAATTTTTATTTTTCTTGAGATTTCTATATTTAACCAGTCATTTAAATTTAATCCAAAACATACTTGTTCTTATGGCTACACTAGTCAGACAAGTACTTCCAACGTTCGGACTTATATTGATTTTTGGATTTTGTTTGAAGATGAAGCCATCCTTAAGCCTTATTTAAAAGATTCGTTTCACCGTTTCTCAGCAAACTGGTGATCGTAATTCAACAGGAAACCACACAGACACTTCCGGGTATTTCTTGACTCCGAAGGAAGAAATTGTTGTCCGGGATATAAATGCTTCATGTCGTTACTGGCATCACTAGAATCCCTTAGAAATTTTGCTTTATTTCTTTATCTTTGGCACACTTTTGCACGAAGATCCTTGTGATTTTCAAAACATCTGGTTCATAATTCTAATGGTTACTTTCACATTCCGAGAACAGGCATTGGTAATTAGATATGAATGGGTGAATCAGAAAAGGCAGTCTTTAAGGAATATGAAACCGTGAATCTTAAGGGATATGATTCCAATGATGGCGCTTGAAAATTTCAACATTTTCCTAACATCATGCTGTCAGTTACGCCGCTTGACGCAAGTCTAACACACACTAACATGTCACGCCTTTTTAGGTGCTTTTTCAGGCTAACGGAGCGCCAACCGTTGATTTTCTCTCACCTAATACTGATGTATAAAAGAACTTTGATGTTTCATTCTTCATTACCGCTTTCAAAAACTTTCTGCTACCGGCGATTAAAACATTTTCTCTCTTGAGCACTGTTTATCATCTTCTTTAACCATTTCAACGGCAACTTCATCTGATACTCTCTCTGATGTTGGTCAGACAGCTTCATCAAGTTTATTGGGTATCATGCCTAACCAAAACCTGATTCTTGATCTTGATCCATCAATATATGACACATTTCTTCAACCTCTCATCGAATATCTTCATCATTCTCCTCTGGCACCGACACTTTTTGTGTCAGAGGTTGTTCCTTTGGTTCAACTATCTAAGACGTATTCTATTGCTTGCTATCTAGAAGGTGAAGCAATGATTAATTATGAAATTGAAAACTAGAAGACCAATATTACCAATGTAACAACCCGTGATTTCAGGTCAATGTAATGTCTAAAATTCAAGTCTTGTAATCTCTTTGTGAAGTAATACACATTTCTTCAACCTCTCATCGAATATCTTCATCATTCTCCTCTGGCACCGACACTTTTCGTGTCAGAGGTTGTTCCCTTGGTTCAACTATCTAAGACGTATTCTATTGCTTGCTATCTAGAAGGTGAAGCAATGATTAATTATGAATTTGAAAACTAGAAGACCAATATTACCAATGTAACAACCCGTGATTTCAGGTCAATGTAATGTCTAAAATTCAAGTCTTGTAATCTCTTTGTGAAGTAATAAGAATATCATCGAAAATGAAATGTTCAAAAAGCTCAGTTTGAGTACACTATGTGGTAGATATCGTGATAAGGTTTCCAAAAACATAAAGAACACTAAAATCCGAATTATAACGAAGGAGTTATGACCAATCAAAGATTCGTAACAATACCGGTAAAACACTGTTAAGCATAAAACGAGAACTTTCAATAAGATACTTTTCAACCTTAGGTGTCTAAATGAAAGTTATAGATATCCTAAAACTGTGAACATACATAAAAAGAATGCCCAAATCTGACTCCATATGAGGAGATTATGATTTTTGGAAGTTTCGGACGTAGCACTAGATAGCTAAAAACTCGAAATAGAGATCGAGCGACTTTTTGCCAACATGACCTAAACGAGAATCGAAGATCTCATCGATGGTATTGCAACGGTAAAAAGTCTGACGAAAACGGACAACGGATTAAGAAGTTATGGATTTTTAACGGAACTTTCCTGTGCTGGCCTTTTAAAAATAAATAATAATAATAATTTAAAAATTTGCTGACGGAGTCTAAACGAAAGTTGAAGGGCATATTCTCACCTATGCGTGGATATAAAGAACATCGAAAACGGAGTTCGTATGAGGAAGATATGAATTTTTGAAGTTTATTAAATAAATAAAATATAAAATTTAATTTAAATACCCGGTATTATCCGAAGGAGGAGGAGTCACCGGGCTGATCCGAGTTACGCCCAACGTACCCTCGTACGCCCAGCGTACTCGGGTCCTAGGTTTCGGATCGTCCACGTCGCCCTTACGCCTCTATGC